TTTATTTTCAACATTAACTATAATGTAAATACATAGATAGTGACAATGTATTATAATTAACTTGTTCAACTTGTATTTTAATAAAGGTTTTTCTGCCATATTGATCACCTCTTCTTTTAGTAAAACTGTGAGTCAGATAAAGTGTTCTACTTTCAAACGAAAGTGTTATTTGTTTTAGATAACTAAAGGTAAAAAGTTTTTCTAAACTTGACATCCTGCCCTGTATATTTTCTAAAGCCAAAGTTTTTCGAGCTGGTCAGCAGTCTAGAATATCAAACACGTAGGTGGTCAGAGTAAATATCACCACTGTTAATGACTAAACTGAACTTTTAATTGTATCAGACCCTCTCTTCTTAGTAAAAGGTTAACATACTGTTAGCGGTGAGCCAATAAAGGTGAAGACATCAGTTAGAAAAAACGCACATACATTTAACTTTGTATTTCCTATGTGACATGGCGTTTTTGAACACATATGTGATGTCAGTTACATCTTTACTGTAGAAGAAAAGTTCAGTTACATCTGTACTCAAAAAATTATGAACAAAATGGTATGTATTGCTATTCTATAATAGTGATCAAACACATTTATAATGTAGCAAAATTATTTTCTACAGAGTTTATTAACTGGATGTTAAAATTAACGAAAGGGAAACATGTATTACATGTCTATAGAAAGTTTGTTCATTACAAAACTGTCCTTTTCACTAACTAAAACGTAAAAAGTTATAGAATGAAAACTATAATCTGTATGTTAAATTATTAAATATTTATAAAACATTAGGTATAATAAAATTCTTTCATGACAGATAATTGTAAATTATTTGTCTTGTTCATATGAATGTGTGATAAAAACTAACATGTGTAATACTGTTATAATAATTTTAACGTTAAATAATAGTTTTATTTAGAGCATTGATGACATAATCGCCCTTACTAACACAATGTAAATGTAGAATACCATCCACCTTTGTAAAACATGTGTAAACGAAAAGTATAAAGTAAATAATGTAAAATGAAACTTTCTGTCAAGTCATATGGATAAAGACAAACTAGTAAACAGTAGGATTGTGGTAAGTGTGCATGTTAAATAATCGTCCTTTTCAGGACGATAGTGATTTACACATAATAGGTCAGAAAATGTAAAAAGTACGATTAAATATAGAACTAATTAATTACTTTTATATATAAACCGACTGTAGAACATCATTAAATCTAGCCATTAATTACATGTTGAGACATGTATGATGATTTCATCATCATTGTGGTTCCACTTCCTGGAACTATGACGTCAAAGTCTTTACCCCCTCCTCCCCCAGAGGCAGCTAATCAGCGCGTGCGTCTGAACAAGCTGGATAACTACCTGCCAAGCTCCTAAGAAACTGTAATTCTATGATGATCTTCCTAATATTATCATAAAATTAGTTTGACTGACGCTTTTCCATGGCGACTTCGACTTTCCAAGTAGGCTTATCAAAATACATTATGTGCTAGAAATTTCATACATTATAAACCTGACAAAGAAAGCCTGTAGCAATGCTTTGCACATCAGATGCACTTCTAGATATACAGATGATGTTCTCATACTGGATTATCATACAAATATATTCACTAGAACTCACTCTAGAAAAACGTTCTTCCACTAAAAACAAAGTATCTAAATTTAGGTTGGAACTTTGCTCAAAGCTACACGTTTACGTCCCTAATTTAGCACTTAAAGACTAAAGGCAGTTAGTCATTATCACCCATCGCCAACTCTTGGGCTTCTTTTTGATTAACGAATTGTGGGATTGACCATAAAATTATAATAGCCCACAGATAAAATGGTGAGCACGTTTGGTGGGACAGGGAGTCGAACCTGCAGATTACAGGTAGAGCATCCTAAAAAACTAGCCATACTGGGTTTGGGTACTAGCATCATTAATCGAACATTCAAATTTAAAGTTTTTAATAAAATTGACACTTTCAACTGTGAAGATATAAACTTTTCATCCCTAAATATAAATATTCCAAACATGTTACATTACATGCTTACTAATTTCAGCTTATTAGGTGCAATAGAATTTGTTCATCCTTATAATATTTTGTAGATAGAGCTCGTAATCTCATTTTTCATAATTGAGTTTTCACTTTGCGCAACTTAAACACAAAATTTATTCATTTCTGTGTGAAATTCAACAACACTCTTGCTAGAGATTATGGGTTATTTAACAGAGTATCACGACATTTTAAAGACTTGAACATATTTTTTCAATGTGTTTTATTACAACAATGCAAAAAATAGTAATTATTAAGAAATGAAATACGATAGAATGCTAAAGATGGGCACAGAATATATAAACATTATAGCAATGAGTACGAAAAGTGAAACAATTACAAAAGAGAAAAAAGTACCATATTAATGTCAATAAGAAACCCAGTATTAGGTAAAAATAGAAAATGTATTATAATAAGTATTGAGTAAGAAGACACCAATTCTTCAGTTCATAATTTAAAAAAAAATTATGTAAATTAGCCAACTCATTAATAAATGCTATAACTGAAGAATTACGCAACCTCATTTGTATTTGTGAACGATATATTTAACTTGCAGAATAATAACAAAACTTGCAGAAAATTAAGAATAATAAAAGAAATTATATGACTTAAAATTGAAGATTGAATTATATGGTCAATTAAAACCTAAAATGTAAGAAGTTGCCTCAAATTAACTGTGGAGACAGCCACATCACTGTCTAACATACGCAGAGAAATGGCGACCTTGTAGCATGGTTTTAAATCCCAAATGTCGTATTTAGTCCATTAATAGATGTCTATAGTTTGCCGTGCTACTTTTTCAGTCCATATAAAATATTTGCTTAGAATTCCTAGACCCTCTAGTATTTACTAACTTATGTAATACGATATTTCGCTTTCAAGAGAACCCATGTGTGCAACTTCAGTTTCGAAACTAGAGGACGACTCGTATATTCTGCAAGAACACACACAGCCTAACAAACGGCGCTGAAACATATTTTACAGTGATGATGCTATCTTTGTTAACCTTAAGATGACCTAAGAAGGTCGAAACGTTGTTCTTGTACTTTATTTTAATTAAAGTTTTTAATACCCATACCAGCCGTTTCTGCTATGCATTTTTACCACATCACCAGCTTCTGTATCCTGTATATATTGCTGCTGAAATGTGTAGGATACTCTTCCGTTAATGAAAAATCGAGGGGACAAACCCACGTGGAAATTACGCCAAAACATTGGGCACTAATGCTTTAAAGCAAACTCAAAATAAACTTTGCTACGAAATGGCAAGTTACATGTAGATTTCACAGTTTTGAGGCCAGCTATAGGTAACTTCAACTGCTAATACCTACCTAACAATTGAGCCGGAAATCCTAGAAATGAGGTGTAGTTAATACTGCTTGATGTAAATATTGTTAAGCACAAAAATACCCTACGGGATATCCTTTAGGGTTATTGCATCAACATTCCTAAAAATAGTTAATAATAAATATTAAATGCACCGAAGTTTTTCTCTACCTTTGCGACATATGCAATAAACTCAAAATACCGATGAAGCCTAAATCATACAACCTCAAATAATTTTAATATATCGTTTACTCGCACATTTGTTATGAATTTTTGACAAATAATTCTACTTCATATTTAACGTCAATACATTTAATCTCTGCATACGGAAAATAATCGCTTGAAATATGACATTCATATTAAATTTTTTATAACAATCCAGAATTTAAACTCAAAATGAAGCGTTCCAAAAAACGAAACTTATCTTAATGAAAAATCTATCAGGATAAACTATCTGGCATCTAATTCTAATACTCTCATAAAAAATAGGACGCCATTCTTGTGGAATTGACTAGTACTGCAGAGAGGAAACGACACACACACACACACACACACACACACACACACACACACACACACACACATATATATATATATATATATATATATATACTATATATTATAAGTTAGTAGACGAGTAACTAACCTTAATTAAACTAATAAGTAGTAGTAGTTAGTTTAGTTAGGTA